GCCTAAGGGATTACCACGAGAGCTTTCAAATGGGTAGAATTCAGTTCTACAAACATTTTCCATTCGAGAAAACTGAAGTTCGAAGAAGCTGAATCGCCTTGGAGCAGGAGTTCTGCATTGAGTCCTACACGGTGAGTTTATGGGGTGATTCACTAAAATTTCTATTACTGTTTTAAATCTGTTTTCTTATTTGCAGGATTCTCTTTCTTTGTGGGTTTGTATTTTTTGCAACCACATTTGTACTGGCCACAGACTTTAATATGTGTTCTTACCTTGATTTTATGGAAGAGAAATGTTCAGATACAGTTCCGTTTCTGTGCCAGACAAAGGATGTGTCTCAATTTGATGTTCATTGCAATATCGTTCTTGTTGAAACCACAGATTTTTTTTAAACAATTTTTACAGAAGCAACACTGACCACTATTCAAAGTCAAAACAATTCAAAGTTAATCAAGAATGGTCAGAAATATATCAGGGATAAAAAAGAAATATTCTTAGACTATGTATCTCTACAAGAAAATGAACTGTTACTATGTAAAATAGAGATGAGGGGCTTCATAGATGGTTCATTCAGTATAGTGCTTTGCAGATAAGCAGGTGTACCTGAGTTCAGATCCCAACACTCATGTGAAACAAAAAACCTGGGTCTGACCCTGGACAGGACAGGCAGAGACAAGAGACTCTCTGGGCTAACTGGCTAACCAGTCCACCTAACTAGTTAGCTAATTACTGAGAGACCCTGTCTCACAAAATAAGTGGAGAACAATTGAAGAAGACATCTGACATTGATTTCTGGCTTCCAAAGACATATTCACATGCTCACTTAGTTGGGGTTTCTATTGTTGTGAAGAGACACCATGATAATACAGCTCTTGTAAAGGAAAACACTTAATTGGGGCTGCCTTGCAGTGTCATAGTGGAGGGGTTTCTGAGGTTTCAAAAGACTCAAGCCAAGTTGATTCTGCTTCCAGATGGAGGATCAAGATATGACCTCTCAGCTGTTGCTGCCCCCTTGCCTTTGTTCTGCTGTCAAGAACTCTAATTATCTGAAACTGTAAGCCACAAACTAAAGTTTCTTTTATAAGCTGTCTTGCACATGGTGTTTTATCAGAAATGGGAAAAGCAATTAAGATAGTAATGAAGAAAGTTTTCACAGAAATTATGTATTATCAGTAGCAATTATGTTTGGAATTAAGGCTATTGTCGATAATGAGGAGAAAATTAAAATATATGAGACGGGCCTGATAATTCTTAAGGTCAGCAGATATGAGATGGGAGAGGCTGTTTCTGCATGCCCAGTATTGTGACACTAAGGGAAAGTTTGAAAAGTGAACATAGTCAAAAGTATGCATAATTGGTAATCATATAAAACTCCAGTTAATGCTGTAAAATGGAAACCAAATAAAGGGAATAAAAAATAGCAAAAAATACAAAAATAAAACACTCCATCTACTAGTATTTTAGAATTGTTAAACAATGTTTGACATTTAAAAAGTTAACCTATAATAAACAAAATGTTGATTTTATGTGGTTTGTACACCTAGAGCCATTCCTTGCAATCGATCCTAAAACGTGATATAAAAAGAGTTAAAAATTATTGGGGGGGCATATACTTTTAATCCCAGCACGCAAGAAGCAGATGTAGGCAAATCTTGAGACATCCTGATCCACAAAGGAGGTTCCAGGGCTACAGGATGAAACCTTGACTCAAGGGGAAAAAAAAAGCTGAAAATTATATAGTTTTAATATTCCCCAAAGAGCTTTCTGCTCTATTTGCCCCCTATGTATTTCCTCTCATGCATCCTCAGTGGGTATCTCTTTTTCCTCTCATTTATCCTGAGTGAACATCTCTATTTCCTCATGTTTACACTAAGTAACATCTTTTATTCTGAATTTGTTGGAATTGACTCTGAAAAGCCAGTCTCCACTTTCAAATATAAGACTCTCTTTTTAAAAAGGTGTAAGTTAAAAATAAGTATAAGCATTTCAGCTTTTTACTACTTAGTGTGTGTTGCAGGGGCACATGAATGAAGGTTGCAGGACAACTTGTGTGAGTCAGTTATCTCTTCTACCATGTGGGTCATCATACTTGGACTATTGCATTGGCCCCAAAGCAATGCCTTTGAAATGTGTTTCTTGTCTAATACATCCTTTTGTAGCCACTATCTTCTGGTCACTTTCTTATTGTCCCTCCATTCCATCCCAGTGCCCTTTCAAGTTCCCCATTTCACTTCTCTTCACTAATGTGAAGTTCCCACAATTTAGCTTTGGGCATTTTCATCTCTACTCAATTACTCTCAGAGTTCATTTGTCTTTGGGCCTTTGATGGCCAGCTCCAATCTAGTTCCCAAATTAGAGCCTCTAATCACAACACTCTGCAAATCCCAGGTGTCAAGCATGGACCTCTGAACCTTCCATTTTCTTGTGATGAAGACACTTTTCTTTTGCCTTCAGTGTTAGCATATAATGTAATTAAAACTGATTACCTGACTTAGAGTGGTGATGTACATCTCTAACCAGCACCAAGAAGGCCAGCCTGCATCACACAGGGAGACTGTTTCAAAACTATTAATAATTTTGCTGGGAAGTGGTGGCACGCTCCTTTAATCCCAGCACTTGGGCGGCAGAGGCAGGCAGATCTCTATGAGTTTGAGACCAGTCTGGTCTATAAGAGCTGGTTCCAGGACAGGCTCCAAAGCATCCTGTCTTGAAACACACACACACACACACACACACACACACACACACACACACACACACACACACACACACGGCCCTACTAATAATTTTGTTTCCTAATAAAAAAGGAAAAACAAAGTCCCAACTGTTTAAACCATGTTATAGTTTATTTGGAAAGGTATCATGACCAGGTGTTACTTATAACTTGAATAAACTGAACCTTCATTCTTCCTTTGAGATTACAAAACCAGTCCTGACATTGACTTAAGAGTAAATGTGAAAAGTCTAAAAGTAAAACTTTGAGTAATAACATTAATTAAAAATATGAAGGTAACTACATTTTGTTACTAGGGAAATGTGAAGGTGAATATGATATATGTGATAAATACTAAGATATAATAAATTAAATTATAATGAACATATTGGAATTGATATACTAAAGCACATGAGTGGGCTAATGTCCCTAGGTAGCTGCTCTAACACATAGCTATTTAACATGACCACCAAATGTTGTGACAAAATGGATTCATTTCATGTTGAACTCAGAAAAAACAGTCTTTTAAAAAAATATTTTATTTATTTATTATGTATACACCATTCTGCTTCCATGTATATCTGCACACCAAAGAGGGCACCAGATCTCATAACGGATGGTTGTGAGCCACCATGTGGTTACTGGGAATTGAACTCAGGACCTCTGGAAGAGCAGTCAGTGCTCTTAACCTCTGAGCCATCTCTCCAGCCTGTTTCTCACTCTTTTAAAATACTTAAATGTTGGAATATGAAAAGCATCTGTCTCTAATAACCATTAATGTTCGAGTCTGGTTTCTCATCTTTAATAATACAATGACTGATATTGTGATTTTTGCTCTGATACCTTCTTAGGCACTGTGATTTTGTTCTTCCTTTTCCATATAGGAAGTAATCCCTTGGATGTCCCTTTTCACAGATAGCCCACACTTTACAGCAAGTCAGGGAATGCTCACCCCAACTCTTATACCAAATAGCCTCCCAGAATGTTCCTGGACTGGCAAGAATTTCTCAAGATCAGTCTCATTTAAACAGGGCTCTTGTATCAAATAGGTTGGATTGCTGCTAGAGCACCTTGGAAAAACAATGCTGGTCTACTAGCCTCTACAACATGTTTTAAGTAAGCTCTCTATATACCGATTTTGGAAAATCTTGAACAACAACAAAAAAAGAGAAAGATATAACAGGATATATGCTATTTAGTAAAAAAAGAAAAAAACCAAAACAGGAAGTAGAAGAACATAAGCATATTTTTAGTTTGCATACAAGAAAATGCTAGAAAGATTTAAAGACAGCGATAACGTCAAATTCAGAGAATAGAGAGTTATGGCAAATTATACACTTATTGCAAATCACAATTAAAATTTGCAATTAGAGAACTGTGTTTTAATAAATAAAAAAAGTCATAAAAGGGAAATCCAAGAGAAGGGAAATGCAAACCCAAGCAGTGCTGGTAACATTATTTTGGAAACATTGAGTTGAATATTCTAATAAATATTATCATTATTCAATAGAGAATAAGGTTTTGTGTGCAAATTCTCTAAGCTTATTAATTTTCCATAAGACAATGAAGGACAAGGTTTATACACTCAGGAGAAAAACAGTGGGCAAAGTAAACTATAACATGCTTAATTATTGGGAAATTGTGCAACCATTTAAAAAGTATTTAGGAAACAAAACCATGAATAAAGTCTTTATGATGGCTTTCCCTCTCCCTCCAAGTCTTCAAGAGGTATCATTAGGACCAAACTTTAGTAACAAGTTAAATGCCACGTGTTTTAAATGCTTAAAAACACTTACAACTCCTATTTTAAGTGAGGCATTTATTGAGTGTGATGTAAATTGTAAAACTTTTTTTTTTAATTAAATGATACAATGACTTATTCTGCCAGGTTTCTCCTCAGTTTTTAACAAAGGCTGCGTTTCGTGGCTGTTCTGGCACAAGCGAAGAAGCGTAAATCTTAGAAAGAATGCGCTCTTGGAAAGTGGTAAGAAAACCTCACGCAGCAAGCATGCATGCACGCCTGCGCACTCCTGCAAGCTTGCAAGAAGGGGGCCCCCTCCAGGGCCTCG